CACACCGTCCCACTCTGTCTTGCGGGTCAGGCTTTGTCTAGCCGAAGGCTTCGGTTGTGTATTCCTCAAGAAAATTCACCTGCCCTGGCCTGGGCAACCTGACAGTATTTGGTCCACATGCAAATCATGGAACGTTTTTCTTTTTATAAAGATTATTGTACCATGATTTGTTTGGCACACAGTCTGGCGTCAGACGTGTGTGAAAATATAAATATATAATAAATTCATCCATATGCAGTCAAATTTCAGGAAGGGAGCCATGGCCGCATAAAGGCTGTCTGTGAAAATAAAGAAATGTGGAAGATGCGCAGCGGTGAAACGGTTTGAACCCGGGTCTCCATTTNNGATGACCTTAAACAATTGGTTACCTCCGCCAAAGTGAAATGGAATGACACTTGACGGTCGAACTTTTAGTCTAATGGATCGCCGATAATAAATATCTAGGCACTTGGAAATTGAGACCCAATATGCGATTCATTTAAACTTTAAAAAACTAAGAAATCACACACTGACAACACTACGAAGAGGCTGTCAAATCGAAACCGAATTCGTTGTGTATCTGCCCTCCTTTGACTGCTACCAACTTACAGATTGGCTCACTTTTTCCCACTGTGTTTTTCTATTTAGTGGTACCCAAGTGACCAGCGTAGTCATCTCTTAGGATGTTTGGTCGACTTGACGGAAAATCCCAAATGCTTCCCATATCTCGTGAGTTGGTCCGGGATTCGCCCATTGCACGCGAATGAAGAATCGTCACACCCGGACGGATTGACCACGATTGCGCAACTACTGTCCAGAGCCCCAGATATGGCCGCATCAGCTGCTTTGTGTAAACTGATTGAAATGGCCACAATTTCGTCAAAAACGTCCGAGCAACAATCCACGGAAATCACTGTAAAAGAAAACACACAAACGGTGCAACCATTCACCATTTTGGACTCCCATTTCAATGTCATAAGTTGTGGACCGACGCTGGTTGAATTGCTCTGTCATTTGTGGCGTGCCGAAGAAGCACACGCATCGAGTACAACTACGAACGCGCTACTGAACTCTTCCGGTAAGCGAATCAAATTTTAATTTGGGGAAAAAATCTCCTGGTATTTTCAAAGAAGAGGTCATTTTCAGTTTGTACAGCCACATTAACCACACAGTTCCGTGCGACAGTCTTGGTCGCTGTCTTCCCGATATTCATTTGCATTAGAAGGCTGGAATTTGGGAAGCATTGTCAGTGTGACAATAGGGAAATTATGTGGACTAGGGTTGAAACGGAAATGGATGTATATATATTTAATTGGAACTGAACATCCTTCAGACTTCACTTTCACGCACAATCCTCAGTGCTTCCAGTCGGTCATACACTCAAAAGCACCATAGACTCGAGTTTCTCTCCTATTAGAGCTTATTAGTAGTATACGTATTTAAAGTTTTGTTTATGTACGCACTGACGCAAGCTAAAATGGGGGATTCACACTGAAGTACCACAACTTGCCGGGCCTGCATGGTAGGGGGTGGGGTGTGAGTGAGAGGTTATGTGTGAAAATGGTAGAGCATTACAGGGCCGCTGTCAAGTTACTCAGATCGTACGCAAATCATGGGTCACATAAACACACCTGGGGTGCTCTGTCGCCCAAATTAATCAATAAGAATCACTTATAGGATGTCCTGGAGGTCAGGAATCGATAATTTTCAGCTGACCTCATGTCGAATGAAACCTCTCAGAAAATTTCTTTACTCCAATAGACTTCTACTATGCTTTTTCTTTTCTAACTTTCCCAAGCGTTGTGATGTAGTTTTATTCCTTTTGAAATCATCAAGATTTCAATCAGTCAACGAAAGATTACTTGCTATTACCCGTCCCGAATTTACCACTAACCGGATCACTTTTATTCTATTCCATTAGTTGTTCCATCAATACTGGACGATGCTGTTTTAAGTTGGATACTTATTTGTGCGTGTGTAACTTAAATAGCGATCCAATGAGCATTTGGATTGGCTTTCGAAACCGAATAAGCCTTCACTCGTACAGAATGTTCATATAAAACCTCACGCCTCAAATGAACCCTCTAGAATCTGAAACAGTTCTAAGCTTAGCATAATTTCGCCTAATATTTTTATGCATCCGTTCAGTTCAATTCAATTCAGTTCAGTTCAGTTTGTTCAACCATTAACCATGCACTTTCGTGTGCCGGTTTTGATTGCTGTCCTTTGACTATCCATCTGGATTGAGAAGTAGAAGAAAGACAAGAAAGTTGAAAGTAGAGTATAAAAGAAAATAGAGAATTTCCGTGCACCTGGACTGCAAAGGAATCGGGAGAATATGCACGGACGTTATTGCTTAAAACACTCAGTCATATTGTGATGGAAGGCAGTTCAAAGAGAGTCCTGGCTAGCGACCGA